TACGAGTAACTTAGGCGTGTAACGAGTAGTTCGTCACCAAAGATTCATGTCGATCTCGTCACTTTTCTTAGAAATCATTTTTCAAACGAAACAGTGTATTCGGAGAGGGAATGCAGTAGAATTAAGCGGGAACTGACAGCTGTGCTTAACAGGCTTCTTACTGACACGCTGGCAAAAGGTAATATGTCTCGGTACATGTGCAGTTGGAAGTAACTCGAGTAATAACACAGACTGGTAAGAACCCCAATTCTGTCTTCAGTTTTTGTCTTCTGAGGATTGCTTAGAAAAAAGGCAGTAATGGTTTAGTGTTTACGATGTACAGCTGCTGGTAGAGCCGAGCTCGTAATCTTAAGCATGAGGGTGTTCTGTGTAAAATTTTGCTGGTTTTCACATAATTTTTGTCTCACTAGCGAAATTTTACATCTTTACTCCTCAAAACAAAACACATCTTTGTCTCCGGTGAGAGTATTATAAGGCTTCTTTTTTAAAAATTCTGGATTGTTTGGCATTGTTGGCCAAGCAACATTTGTGCCATAGAATTGTGCATCAGCGGATTGCTGTAATATTGTTCTCTCCAAGTGACGACAAATAAAATTTTCTGGAACCTAAAAAAGGCTGCATTGTCCATGTCGTCACAATCTTCCGATAATTCTGTATTTTCGAGCTCAGATCATTTCTCAAAAATATTTTGAATTTTTTCGAGATGGGGTGAGTGCAGCAGCTGATTCAGATTCTGTGATGTTTCAGATCAATTAGAACAGGAAGCAGTTCATTGGTGGAATCGAAGAGTCCATGGAAGACTCGTCATCGGATGGGCTACATCTTGACAGAGGTATGCGGTAGAATTACAGTTATTTTTGTTTCGTCGAACTGACATGATTACTGAGCTTCTCCTCCATTAGCTTGATTCCAGGCATTTTTATGCGTTTTTTGCAGCTGTGCAGTGCAAAAACCCAAATTGATGAGAGGTCGTCTGTGTGTGCGTCTGTCACACACTTTTATCTCAAGACCTACAAAAGTTGTAGGGCTGAAATTTTCGGAAACTTAATCTCCATGCAGGTACCGGCCCCAGTCCCCAAAACGGGCGCCATTACCCGTGTACGGGCCCGCCAAATTTTTTTTTTTTGGGTAAGTTCATAACTCGGAGATTTGAGAAGCTAGAACGCTGGAATCTTAGGGAGATGTTCCCCGTCTAAACTAGATGTTAATGCACTGAGAGTCATCTCCCGGGTAAGCGTGGTACCCGCGTATGGGCTCGCCGAAATTTTTTCGGGTAAGTTCATAACTCGGGAACGTGAAAAGCTAGAATACTGGAGTTGTAAAGGGATGTTTTCTGACAGTCCTGGCGGCCAGTCTGAAATTCTTTTGGCTAAAAACATCTGCCGGAAAAACCAGTGCCGTTAGCGACAAAAATCTGCGGGGAGCTATGCAAAAAACGCATTTTCGCACGGGCAGCTCGTGCGTTGGCCAGTTATTTAAAAGAGTGAAGAACTGGAAACTTTACTAACGGATGAGTGCTGCTATTTGAACTACTTTCCACTTCTAGACAGTAATATGGGGTGGTTTTGATCGTGAAAGGCGTTTAGTTTGTATCATTTTTTTCTCGTATTGTTTTGATTACGAAGATGTTCCTCTACAGATATTCAGCGGATTATTGAGTTGATCGAACATGTGCAGAAAACCGGTGAACTGAACAGTCCGAAACTCACATCACTGCAGAATATTTTGCAGTCGGATTTTTTCTCCTCTGTTCGAGAAGTGTTCGAGAATGTGTATTACACAATAACGCCTGATAGTTCGCGTGAGGTTCGGTTTTTCGATTGTATCCTCCACTAAATGCCAGAACTGAAACAGAAGTGTGTTCTTTTATTCAGTGGCAAAATTGAAACTGATATTTAGGTGTTTTTAGGCTCGAGCAAGCGCCACAGCTAAAGCGACAGTAGCCGCATTTGCGGCTGCGGAAGGACACGCACATCCTCGAATTATTGAACTGCCAAAAACGGACCAGGGGCTTGGATTCAACGTGATGGGTGGCAAGGAGCAAAATTCACCGATTTACATATCGCGCATAATACCGGGCGGTGTGGCTGATCGTAATGGGCAGTTAAAGCGGGGCGATCAGTTGATTGCGGTTAGTTGTTGAATTTTTTCCGGCTTCGCAAAAAAAACTGGAAAATAACCGAATAAGTACAGAGCAAGCAGTTTCGTTCTCTCATGCATCAGTTTCTCACATTTTTATACAAAAGTTGCTATTGACGTTTGTGTTTTTTCTACCATCTGCGTGGTTTTACATCCTGAGTCGATGTGTGGTTCAACAAAGAGGGGTAGTTGACAAACAAGGAAAGGAGATTCCGCGCCTTTTTTCCCCTCTGAGAATGTTGCAGTTCAGTGAAACGTCTTTAAATTGAGAACTGCTGGTAATTAGTGTTTTGTCCGTCCTTTGCTTTGCTGCTTTCATCTTTTGCAACACCCACGCACTGTGGAAA